TTTGCCTTTTACTCCAAACCGCGTCTGGTCTTTCATCGAAGTTACTTTGATAAACATGTGATCCCCGACTTCATATTCCATATCTGTCCTTCGGACATCCGCATAACTATTTTGGTTACTTTGTGCAGTTTTCAGTCTTTGTTGAATCAATTTCACATTTTCAGTTGTTTCTTGCACAAGTTTCGGTCCCAACAAAGGTCTGTCACCTACTTCGGCCCAACAAATCGGAGAACGACATTTCCTACCATACAAAGCTTCATAAGGAGCCATTCCAATGCTTGAATGATAGCTATTGTTATACACAAATTCGGCCAAAGGAAGGTAAGTCTCCCAATTGCCTTGAAAGTCTAACACACACATCCGTAACATGTTCTCCAATGTTTGAATGGTCCGTTCAGATTGGCCATCTGTCTGCAGGTGATAAGCACTGCTTAATTTCAGCTCAATTCCCAAAGCTTGTTGCAAACTCTGCTAGAATCTCGAAGTAAACTTGGGACCTCTGTTAGATACTATGGACACTGGAACTCTATGTAATTTCACAATCTCATTGACATACAAGTTAGCCAACTTATCTGCATTTTAGAAAAATTTAACAAGTAAAAAGTAAGTAGATTTAGTTAAACGATTAACAATGACCCAAATAGAGTCCATACCTCGGGAAGAGCGAGGCAGTCCAACAATGAAATCCATAGTAATGTGCTCTTATTTCCATTATGATATTGGAAACAGCTGTAACAACCCAACGGGTCATTATTGTTCAGCTTTAACTTGTTGGCAATGCAAACATCTCCTCACAAAATCAATAATGCTTTGCTTTATTCCAGGTCACCAGAAGTTCTGTCTCAAATCATGATACATCTTTGTGTTCCCCGGATGCATAGCAAATTTGGAATTATGGGCTTCAGTCATATCACGTTTTCTCAAATCACAACAATCTGGTACACGGGCAATTTTGAAATTTCAACACATTATTATCAAGCACAAATCCCAGTCTCTATTTTGAGTCAGTTTCATCTACAATCTTTTTCATAAATGCATCTTGTAGTTGCCTATCTCTTATCTTCTCAATAATTGCGGGTTGGGCAAAAATAGCAGTTAGAATTCCACCATGTTCACGCAAAACCACTTCAATTTCATTTCGTTACAATTCACATAACAATTCTCTCTGACCAGTGAGCAAACATGATAGATTCCCAATAGATTTTCTACTCACTATATCTGCAACAGTATTTGCCTTCCCTGGATTGTAATAACCCGACCCTCGTACATGTTCTCTGTTATGTTTTCGGATCCTCTTTTATGATTTCGAATGCTTATTGTGAAATCCTATGAGGAATTAAAGTTAAGTAAGTGAACCATATGTTTAAGGGAGGTCTATCTGTTCAACAAGAAAAGTATCTGTTACATTAGAAGGTTTGAATCGAAATTAGAGGCCTTAAGGGCTTAATTATCTGAAATTGATTTTATATATGTGATCAGCATAATTTTTGGGTAATGTTAGGCATTTTTGGGAAATTTCAATTTCGGATGTTTAAACGATTACTTTTTGTCCTTATTCAATCAATACATCTATATACATCTATAAGCTTCTCATAGAGCAAAAGACTTAAAACTTACCTCATACAATGTTCTCTGGGAGTAAAGTGTTGAGAGGAAGAACAAGAAAGCCTTGAGAGGGATTAAAGCTAAGGTAAGTTCAATTTCCCCTAGTCCAATCCTCTTCCCCAAGGTGAAATAGGAAGTTTTGATATAGCATGATTTAAATTGTGATGGAGGTCTTGTGTGTGTGTGTGTGTGCGTGTGTGTGTGTATGTGTGTTGGAATTTTGGTATGTTAATCCTATCATCATGTGTTTCCTTCATTATAAAGTTGGTATTCATTATTATGAGCATGATTTTGTGTATCTATGTTATGTTATGTGCATGTGAAACTAAGAACGTCAAGACATGGAAGTGTGTTTATGAGTTTCAACTTTTGGTCCATTGAATTGAGTTGTGTGCATGGATTTAATTCAAGCTAGAGTGTTGTATATTGTACCTTAAATTTCATGCTTTTTGAACCATAATTTGGCAATGAAAAGATCCATTTCAGAGTCTTGCAAACATTCCCAAAAGAATGGGATTTTGATGCAAATTTCGGACCAAAACAAGGGAATCGCCGCACGTGCAGGAGTCACTGCCGCACGTGCGGCAAATGCTGAAAATTTTGGGTTTGGTTCTGCTTAAAAGGCATGTGCGGGGGCATTCTACCGCACGTGCGGGGGAGTTTGCCGCACGTGCGGGGCTCACAGCCGTACGTGCGGCCCATGCTGAAAAACGTAGATCGCTCCGTTTTGCGTGTAGAACCCTCTAATGTTGTCGGAATATGTATTTGATGCCTTCTAATATGTATAAATTCCTTCGAAGTAAAACGAAACAGAAAGTAATTTGATATGAAAAGGAAACTAAATTGTAAAGGTTGAATGTGTGCAGGGCACACTCCGGGAGGAACAAGCACATCATCACAACACTGTGAGTAGTAGTATCATTATTCGCTTTACATATGACTAATGATTTTCATTAGCATTTCGTTTACGCAACTATGTTAATGTTTCAAGTATGTATGTTAATGTTTCACGTATGTTTCAAGTATGTAAAGAAAGAATGAGAAAGATAAAATACCTTCCTTCTATAAGACTCTGGGCCTACGGTCATTCAATATAAGTTGTTATGATATGAAACAAAGTGCTACACGGAACTAAGTGCTACGACGTGAGCCACCTCTAGAATCCGTGTGAGACACCTCTTGAGTTCGTATAAGTATATTCAAGGGCTTAATGCCAAATTATCCAAGGGCGTAATGCCACCCTAATTAAGGGCTTTATGCCACCATGTTTAAGGGCCTTGTGCCACCATGTTTAAGGGCATCATGCCACCATGTTTAAGGGCCTTGTGCCACCATGTTCAAGGGCTTCAAGCCATTATGATTTAAGATGTGATGTGTTAAGCTGTTATGTTCAAGATTGGGCCTAAGGCCGTTATAAGATGAACACAGAATCAGGCTAACTATGTGACCTCTGCACTTCCATATGTATTGATATATGTCATGTTCAAGTTGAGCATTGCTTCATTTATGTATTACTACTCACTGAACCTGGCTCACTCTCTGTTATGTCTGTTTCTGTAGGCAACCAACCAGGTGGTCAATCCTAACCCATGACGCCCAGTTTCTTTTGTCAACCTTCGTGTATCCAGGCACTTACGAAGCCACTTATTTTGTGAAGCTTATTAAGATAATTGGCTTACTTCTTGACCATCCTTCCAAGGTTGAATGTATATAACTTCAACAGTTTTGTACCTACCCGATTATAGGGCTGGGTCTGTATATGTGTTAGTGTATAAGTACTGCTAAGGAATATTTTTGGACTTTATCGGCCTATCATAATGCATGTGATGTATGAGATCCTGGCATGTTAGAAATAGCTCAATGGAGTTTGCTTGGTTTAATATTCTTTTAATATTTTGTGCTTCCGATAAGGCCCCATATGCTATGTATACCAGGTTATATGTCTGTTTTTGAATGGGTCAAGCCCGAACTTTTAGGGGCAAGTTTGGGGTGTGACATGGATGATACAAAATTTGCAAGTCATAGTCCTCGATTAATTCCAATCATCTTCTCTGCCTCATGTTCAGTTCCTTTTGGGTGAAGAAATATTTTAAGCTTTTATGATCTGTATATACTTCACAAGTTACTCCATACAGATAGTGACGCCAGATTTTCAAAGTAAACACTACGATTGCCAGTTCAAGATCATGAGTCGGGTAGTTCTTTTCACAAAGATAGAGTTGTCGAGAGGCATAAGAAATCACTTTCCCATTTTGCATTAACACGCACCCCAAACCTTTGTAGGAAGTATCACTGTAAATCTGAAACCCATCGGTCCCGTTAGGCAATGTCAAGATTGGTGCAGTTACCAGTCTAGTCTTCAGTTCTTGGAAAGCTGATTCCCGCTGATCGGTCCAATCAAAGGGTACATTTTTCTGTGTCAATTGTGTCAACGGCATAGCAAGTTTTGAAAAGTCTTTCACAAATCGACGATAATACTCTGCAAGCCCTAGAAAACTTCTAACTTCTGACACATTGGTTGGGCTTGGTCAATTTACAATGGCTTCGATTTTTTGTGGATCAAAGGAGATACCATCCTTGTTGATACATGTCCCAAAAATGTCACACTGTCAAGCCAAAATTCACATTTGGAAAATTTTGCATATAGCTTCTTTTCTCTCAGAGTCTGTAATACAGCCCTCAAGTGATTCTCATGATCTTCCTTACTTTTGGAGTAAATCAAAATATCGTCAATAAATACAACAACAAATTCATCCAGATATGATTTAAACACCCTATTCATAAGGTCCATAAAGGCAGCAAGTGCATTAGTCACCCCAAACGGCATTACCAAAAATTCATAGTGTCTGTACCTAGTTCTAAATGCAATTTTCTCTACATCTTCTGCCTTAACTTTTAACTGGTGATACCCAGATCTAAGATCTATCTTGGAGAACACTTAAGCTCCTTGAAGTTGGTCAAATAGATCATCTATTCGGGGCAATGGATATTTGTTCTTCACAATTACCTTGTTCAACTCACAGTAGTCAATACATAGCTTCAAGGACTTGTCTTTCTTTTTGACAAACAACACTGGAGCACCCCAAGGTGACGTGCTTGGATGGATAAATTTCTTGTCTAAGAGTTCTTGGAGCTGAACTTTTAACTTTTTCAGTTCAGAAGTTAACATTTTATATAGGGTTTGAAAATCGGTTGTGTTCCGGATACAACATCAATAGTAAACTCAATTTCCCTACCAATTAAGTCTCCCGAAAAGTCAGCTGGAAATACATCAGGAAATTCATTTACTACAGGGTTGTTCTCTATAGTGGGATTATCAAAAGTCACAGTCAAAACACAACACATATACCCTCTGCATCCCTTCTTAAGCAATTTAACAGCTTTTATGGTAGAAATCAAGTTGGGAGAGGGACCACGCCATTCCCGGTGAACACAAACTCAGGTAACCTTGGTGGACGAAATATAACAGACTTATTCACACAGTCAATATTTGCAAAGTACTTCGTTAACCAATCTATACCCAATATGCAATCAAAATGGTCAATTCCTAAAGGTAATAAATCAACATACAATATCACATCACCAATCACAACATCACATGCCAAGTACACATATGCACATACCATAGAACCCCCAAATGGCGTAGATACAGACAATAAATAATTCATGGATTCTAATGGTCTAGTTATTTTTTAAGAAAAAGCATGTGACACAAAGGAATGCATGAAACTAGAATCTATCAATACATAGGCATTCTAAGCATAGATAGAAATTATACCTGACACCACAGATTCAGTATTCTGTACGTCACCAGCCACAAGTGTAAAAACTTTACCCTGTCTCAAGGGTTCTCTTCCCGTATTAGTTCTAACATTTGTTCTTGATCCAGAAGCAGATCCTACTGAACTTGCTACAAGACAATTGTCATTCTCTAACCCAATTAGACAATCTCTTATCATGTGGCCCATCTTGCCACACCGGAAACAAGAACCAAATACCCGATGGCAAACTCCTCTATGTCTCATCCCACACTGGGTACAAATAGGCGCAGATCCACTGCTTTGACTTGATCTGCTAGAAAATCCCGTATTTTTTTTCTTATTCATAGCAAATGAACGGCCCTTTTTGAAACTGATTCCAGATCTTTTCCCCTTCCATTCAGTTGTTGGGGTAGGAGCTTGTTTCTTTGCTGCCAAAATGGCATCTGCCATCAAAGCCCTATCAAGCACATTCACATACGTAGGTAGTTTGAGGACTCCTACCTAATCAAATATATCTAAATCCAATTCACCCTCAAATTCTCGAGCTCTCTTGTAGTCTGTGTCTACCATATGAGGCACAAACCGAGCTAGTTCAATGAATTTAGCCTCATACTTGGCTCCGGACATGTTGCCTTCTTGAGTTCCTGAAATTCTAAAACCTTTCAGTCCCGAGAGCACTGAGAAAAGTACTTGTCATAGAATATCGTATTAAATTGAGCCCATGTCATATTCTCATTACTATTTCAGACCAATAACCACCATCTCCAGGCTTCGTCTTTCAGGGTGTATGTGGCCAAAAGGACTTTCTGAATCTCAGAACAGGGAAACATTTCAAATAATTTCTCCATTTCCAACAACCATGTTTCACCCTTTAATGGTTCAATACCTCCCAGGAAAGTTGTCAGTTTCATCTTCATGAACTTCTGAGTTAGGTTGATTATATCATTGTTATCTGGCTCATGTTGTGCTGGTGGAGGCGGAGGAGGCAAAAGTTGTTGCCTCTGTTGTTGTGTCAGTGTTTCAGTCAGAGCTGCAAACATTTTTCCCATACGACTCATGTGAGCCTCCGAGGATTCACTTGTATCATTGTTTCTTACATTTTCCATGATGCTATAGAGAGACAAGGTAATAATAAACATAGGAATAATCTTGTTCGTTTCTTCCAATTTCATTTGTTTAGGTTCAAATTTAGTTTTCACATTTATAAAGATTAGCACACACTCACACATGCAGATGAAATGACCCTAATTCTTTTCTAGGACATCTTATAGCTCGTATGGACTCGTGTGTGTAGTATAACACGTGCTCTGATACCACTCTATCACGACCCAAACCCACCCTATAGGTTTAGCATCATAACCGGCCAATAATCCTTGGATTACCAAAGGCCTCTGAACAGAATAACTTATAAATAGGGGCTGCGGAAGCAAATATATAAACAAACATAGTCCATTGAGCTGTGGAGACATATATGGGACATAAATTTTAAACCTATTACACATATACGTGACGTCATAATGCAGGTCTTATGTCACATTCAATACAAATGTAGCCAAAAAGGGACTTAGCCCAATATAGACATAACAAAACTTGTTCATAATTCAACGAAGACAAGGTCTTAAACATATGCCATTTAGACTTGACTCACTCACAAAAAGGAACCTCCTCGGATGCACAATGGCTGGCTGACAAAACTAAGACACCAGATCCTCAACTCTGAGCCTGGTCGTGCGCCTGGTCACCTACATACATAATATAAACAGTGAGCGGAAGCCCAGTGAATAAGAACAGAGTAAAGAGTTTAAATGAATGTTGTCCATAACAGTTACAGAAAACAGAATTCAGTAGTTATCATAAATGGATTCATAATCATGTTCAGAGATTATAGTTTATAACAAATATAGAATCATAATCATATTCATAATCAGAATTTGCAATTAATCATACATGGTACATTCATTAGCACTAGCAGAAACAGTTGACCCATAAAGGGACGGCCATAAAGGCATACAGTTGACTCACGTGCATGGAGCCGGCACAGTTGGCTTATGAAACGTACAGTTGGCCCATAAATGGGACATAACAGAACAGATAACAAATGTCATCTGAAGCTAAGAATGCCACGAATACCTTTCAAAAACATTAGACAACCATTCATTCATACATACATAAACTAACATTTTAGAAACAAATCATCTTATATCATTCAGAAAATACTTATAATTGAACATAGCTTTACAAAGTTATTACTCACAGATGACTCCGAAGCAGATGGACAGAATAGATAACCGAATAGCCTACGGCGCATGACCTACACAACACATAACAGATATACATTTGAAACATACGCTTAAGATATACTTTACTCATTATGTTCCATAGCATGTTATTAGCCTTTATCCTCATTATTGAGTCTTAATCTTGGCCTAAGAATGCCTAGCATGCAATGAGGATGCAAAAATATATTTGACAATACTTGGTCAAAAATGTTGGAAACGGGGGTCCCGCTCTAGCACAACTTCCTTCACTTTAGCGGTCTCCAAACTTTGACAAAGTACTGGTTATATGATTTTCACGCTCGACGAACGCTTGACGATCTCTCGAGCATGAGACTTAGGTCCTCGGTCGAGTGCAACTCTTGTCGCTCGAGCAGTCTGCAAGAACGTGAAACTTCTGGGAGCTTGCATTTCACGCTCGTGCGAGCTTCAGGTCGCTCGAGCTAAAGTGTAAGATCACAGAGTAGTCGCTCGAGCGAGGAAGCAAAATCTAGAATTTCGAGATTGCACTCCCAAGCTCAAAACTCGAATTCAACCCCTCAAAACACAACTCTTGGGCCCTAAAACTTGTGGAAACAAGTCTAAACTTCGAAAACATAAAGAATTAAAGTTCCTTTCATGAAATCAAGGCCCATAAGTGTGTCAATTATACACACTCAAACTTGAATTGTGAAAACATAACATGAATATGAAATGCATGTATTGCCTTGACTTCAAAACTTCCAAAACATAATCTAATGACACAAAATGACATGAAACTTGATGAATTCTCAAAATAAAGGTTGGATGAACACATGCATGAGAGAAGTCTTTGAAATCAAACTCAAATTGTGTTCAAATGGACATACATGCACGAGATGTTCTTCTTTTTTACCTCCTAGTTCAATTATTGCTTAACTTAGCTCACTTCTCTTGAATTCATGTATGGAATGACGTAAACTCAAACCTAAAGGTTGAATTCTCACCTTAGATGTTCAATTATGCTCTAGAGTGCTGAAATCTTCCAAATTCTCTTCCAATGCTTAGCAATCCCTCTCTTTCCTTCCTTGTTTGATGAATTTAAATTCTCCAACTTTCCTCTCTCTCTCTTCTCACGTTTGATCTCAAGATAACAAAATGAGAGTGTGTAAAGTATAGCCAAGGGTCCACTTATGCCTTATATAGGCTTAATTAATGGTTTAATTAAATGGTTGATCAAATCATTCAATTAGACATAAATTATTCTAATTAAATCATTCCGAATTAACATAAAGTATAGCCAAGGGTCCACTTATGCCTTATATAGGCTTAATTAATGGTTTAAATGGTTGATCAAATTATTCAATTAGACATAAATTATTCTAATTAAATCATTCTGAATCAACTTTCAATTGAACATACCATAAAATTCTAAAACTCTAACTAACACATAATTCAAGTCAATTTCGCGATCGGATGCCAATAAGGTCTTCAATTGACAGAACAGAACAGAACGACAAACAGATATTTCTATGATGGACAGATAGAAACACAAAAAATGTCGTACACACATGCAAATAAATTCATAATTTCATCTTAATTCTTCTTAGGCATAATTAATCATGGATTAAAGGCTAATCACAAGTCAGGGTTGTTACACACTACCACTAATCACTGCAACAACCACAAGAAGTCGGTGTTTGACTGACATGGCTTAACAACATGATTTTTTGGCAACAGAACTAGTACGATGATGGTAAAATCACAGTAGGAGAACTAATTAGAGTTGAACTCTCATAGTACGATTCTCCGACAGTAGAACCAGTCGATGTTGAACTCCGATTCAATGACGTCATAGCAGTAGTGATCGAATTTGTGACTCTCATGATCGATTCTTTAGCGCAATGCTAGTGACGTCACCAAAATTTCATTGGCCAACAAAAATTTCATTGACTTACTGACTTGGTCATCGAAATTTTACTGACCTACCGAAATTTCACTGACTTATCTTAGGTTAGTGAAATTTCGTCAAATTTTGTTTTAGAATTTTGTATTCATCGTGGATCTTGGTTTATAGATCTTGATGAAATAATTCCAAAAATATAAATTTCATAAAAAAAAAAAAATGAATATCTAGATCAAAAGTAATAGGATTTTGAAATGTTCAAGTGAAAATTGTTTTGTCCTTATATTTCTAAAAAAAATTACTAGGGATTAGAAAATAAAATCTCTTTTAAAAAAAACTTTATACTTTTAGATTTCACTTAACTAGACAGATCAGTAATTTTATGTTTGGCATTCTCTACAAAAGCCACCTTTTTATCTTTTTTAGGTTAAATCATCTTTTTATTTTTTCGCACATCTTTTCATAAAAAGGTCAAAAAGTATATTTATTTAAATCATTCTAAACAAAAATTTTAAAAAAAAGTGTAAAAATTAATTAAGAACAAAAAAGAATAAAAATAGTTGCTTTTATATATATATATATATATTTAGTGTTTTTTTTAAAATATTTTTCTAACTTTTTAGATTCTTTTACATTAAATGACATTGAAAATTTTTTTAAAAAAATGGCGCAATTTTAAAAACAAATTACTAAAGTCAAAAAAATTCAATGGGTGTTACTCCTCTCTAGTTGATGATCCAACGGGAGGGGTTTGTTGGGCTGCTTATTTTTAGATATGATTTATAAATTAATTTTTTTATTTATTGTGAAAAAATATATAAAAAAATAAAGATATAATGTGAACAAAATTAGTCAATAAACCAATAAAGAGACTTTTTTTTGGCACTACCCAAAAAATCCAACAAACCCAATCATTAGCAATTTCAATATACATCCAGTTTAATTTCATTCAACCCCTACATGCAAGGTTAGGCGTTTGGGATTGTATTTTTTTTTTTTTTTAATGACTTTTTTTATTTTTTTTAGGCCTATTTTGGCCATTAGAAAAAAAAAAGAAAAAAAAAAGGGTCAATTTATTGACTTATTAACTTACTGATTTATTTGAATTATATCACTTATCAATTTTTTTACATGTTTTTGTCAACAAAAAAAAAAAAAAAAAAAAAAAAAAAAAAAAAAAACAAAAACCAAAAAATCAAAAAAAAAAAAAATCACTTCCTAAAATAGTTAGTCAACTTCCGTTTGGGAAGTGAGATTTGTACGTAAAAAAAAAAACAAAAAATAAAAAACAAAAAATCATTATATATTGTCATATTAATTTACTTTTTACACATCTTTTAATAAAAAGTTAAAAGATCAACTAAAGTAGTCAACTTTCAAACGTTGTGTAAGATTTTTTTTAGACTTCTAAGGCCGTTTATTTTCAGAGTTAAGTTGGATGAGATTGGGTGAGATTGTTAGTATCGAAATTATTTGTGATGAGACTAACAAAAATTATATTTCTTTGTAATATTTTTTAGTGAGGGGATTAACTATATAAAATACCATAAATACCCTTTGAAGTTTTTGATATATTAAATATTAAAAATTATATTTTATAAATATTTTTATACTATATTATTTAATATATATATATATATATAAGGAAAAATTATTTATAAGTCATATTAAGGAGACTTATGCTACATATGGTCCTACTAAAAAACTTATGTTCCCATAAGTCCTATGGAAAATTTGTTAACACATTTACCCTCAATATTAGTTGTTAATATTATAAATAATAGTAAAACCATATATAGGAAATTGAATGTTACCATAGATCATATTTATATAAACGTAACGTAATGTGACACCTACATAAACGTAACGTGACACCTATACGTAACGTAACACCTATATAAACGTAACGTAACGTGACACCTACCATAGATCATATTTATATGAAACGTAACGTGACACTAACATAAGCCAGCAACATTTTCACATTCAATTTTAAAAAATAAAAACTCATTAAGTTTGTGAACGTTACGTTACGTTTATGTAGGTGTCACGTTACGTTTATGTAGGTGTCACGTTACGTTACGTTTATGTAAGTGTCACGTCACGTTACGTTTATGTAGGTTCTTGTGGAATACATTCCTATTTAAATAGGACTTGAAACTCTATAAGAAATTACATAGGACTTAGCTTTGCATAAGTGTCTGAAAAAAGACTTATAAATAAGTCTTCCTATATATAATGATGTAATACCCAAAAAAAACCACACACACAAATGCATGGGCAAAATAGACTTTTTTTCAAGTTAATCCCCTTGTTAGTTTTGAAATCCAATCTTTGAGGTTTTTTCTAATGGGAAAATTACCTGTAGGTCCTTTTTGAAATATGTGTACACTATTTAATCCAATAACTTTTTGAGTAAACCCATAAGTCCTACACTTTGCCCCCCCTCTCTCTCTCTCTCTTTTCTGCGTTTTCCTCTCATTCTCTTTGTCATGTCCAACGACCAGTGATTACACCTTCCTTATTCTCTTTCTCTTTCTAATATATAGTCACCGGTAACCGATGACCACCATTAATTGAGGTTACGGGCAACCACCAACCATCGATATCAACTCGTTACTTTATCATCATCGACGGCGAAGAAGATGAGTAGATCTACTCAAATCTAATATAAAACTACTCAAATTTGATGTAGAACTCTACATAAAATCCGACTAAATTTAAACAAAAAATAGTTGTCGGAGTACAATATTTCTTCTATATCTATTTTTTCCTTCGATTTCTCAATTTTTTTCTCTGTTACACACGCCTATTTTTATGTTTTAATTGAGCAAAATTTCAAGTTCTGAATAAGTTATTTTTAAGCTTTAGTTACAGGCGGTGAAAACTGTAAAATTTTACAGTTTCAGCTTTTTTTGGTGCTGAAATGAATTATTCTTTAAAACTGTAAAATTTTGCATTTTCATAGAATTTTTTAGAACTGTAAAATTTTACAGTTTCATAACATGTTTTCCAGTTTAATAAAATAATGCTTTGAAACTGTAACATTTTACAGCTTCAAAGCTTACTTTTTAGTTTGATCAATATTACAGATTATTTGCTTAGTTGTTTGTTATTGTTATGTTTTTTAACTATAATTTCTTCATTCATTCCCTTTTTTTTAGGAAGCAATATTCTAAATATTCCAATGAATCTCCGATGATGTTTTTGACATTTTTCAGTGATGTTCAGAACACTCCTGCGAACTTCCGGTGATGTTCCGGCGACTTCCGATATTGTTGAATATTCCGGCGAGTCTTCGGTGAATCTGACAGAAGTCGTTGAATGTAGCAATATTTTTGAAGTGATAAAAATAAAAAATAAAAAGAATTTTTGGTAGCAATTAAAAATATGTAAGACTAATTAGTGTAAATATTTTTTTTAAAAATTAAATAAATTTTAAATTTTATGTATAAGACTAATTGATAAGTACTCCTTTTCTAATCCCCTCCTCTGAAGCCCATGTTAGATCACGAGACTGCCAATCTCAAGTTTCACACCGCAAACAGCATGATTTTAGTACTCCCTAATGGTTCAATCCCAAGTCCCTATTTTTTTAAAACAAACAGGCCTTAGATTCTACGTACCTAGATGAACAAAAAAAGAAAAAAGAAAAAAAAAGTTGAGGACATTGTCCTTTTAGACTTTTTTTAATTTTTTTTTATTTTTTTTTATTTTTTTTACAACAGAAGGACCAGAAAAATAATTTTGACACAAATTTGAAGAAAAAAAAAAGAAAAAAGAATGAATTGTTTTAGCTGATATGGATGTAGAAAGGTGTGGGTCCCAATGTGAACTGTTTTACATCTTTTGGGCTGTCATAAAACTGACTTGTCACGTGTTAATTCGTAATAATTTGCCGTTAGCATTTCAACAAAAACGCTGTTTACCACCAGACTAATCCTCCATTCAAAATTTTAAATATAATTGAGTTTGTTTGGTTTTAATTTTTTGAATTTATTAAAATTAATTTTTTTTATTTTTTTATTTTTAGTAAATATTTTTAAAATTTTAAGTAATTTTTTATTTTTTAGATATATCTTATTTAGATGTATTTAAAAATTAAAATATTTGTAAAAAAATATTTTTAAAAATTAATAAATACACAAGTATACCAAAAATATATTGAATTTTCATATGTTTTTTTGTATTTTTGGTATTTAGTGAATTTTCTAAATATTTTTTTCACAAATATTATACTTTTAAAATGTATTTATGTTAGGCATATCTAAAAATAAAAATAAAAAATTACCTAGAATATTAAAAAAATTCAGTCAAAAATAAAATGGAAGACAAAAAATTTTAATTTTCTAAAAAGTGAATTCTGAAAATAAAAACCAAACAAGCTAATTCTAACTTGCTATTTTGCTCCCTTATTTTACCTCTTACGATACTATTATCCCATACAACTGCTTATGGATCCGTCTAGAAATAGGTAATTTTAATTTTTTGACTATTTTAATTTGACTAAAAAAGATTATATTTAGAATGATAGTTAGTATTTTATTTTTTTTGTAATTGATTTGATGATTGTGAAAGAAAAAGTAAAATAATTATTAATTAAATGTGACATTTTATCTTATTAGTTATTTTAGCCTATTTTATCTTTATTAATTATTTTAGCTAAATAACCTCTAACCAAATAGGGCATATATAACCCAAACAATGGATTGTCGGTAGTTTGGGATGTAGGTTGACTTTTTGGCTATTTTAGCTTGGAGCTAAAAAGTCTTGTTTGGAATAGGTTTTTTTGACTTTTGTGAGAGAAAAAATGAAATAATTATAAGTTTGATGTGATGTTTTGTCTTATTGACCTAAAAAATATGACATGCCAAACGAGGCTAAAAAAAGTACCTCTAAGAATGTGCGTGGTGCAAATTCGGTACGAATTAATGATAAAATTAGAAATATTAAACCATGAATGTTGGATTAAAAAATAATAAAACTGTGATTTGAGTGGTATGGACGGTTTCAATTTGTTAATTGATTGGAAAAAAATATTAAACAACTAATTTGCATAATATTTTTTCATATATTTTATATATATAACATTAATTTATAATAAATTTTACATTTTAGATATCTTTTACACTTATTTTGATTTTGATTTTGATTTTTTTTTTTTTGGTGAATAAGTTTACACTTATTTTTATTTTGTTATTTTTTTTTTTTGTGAATAAGTCATAAATAAAAACAAAAAACTTACACAATTACAAGGGGCATACCCCAGGCCCTACACCACCACTATACATGAACAAAACCAGCCAAAAAGCCACACAAAATATACAGCCCCAATACACAAACGCTAGGGACTAGAGTTTTCTCTAAGCTATGGAAAACATTCCAAACGAAACTGAGAAGACTTGGACCAAAAAAACTACACATCAGATTTGGATCCTCTTAATGTGTTCAAGGTCCCCATACCAGCTATATGTGGACAATGAACTCACCCTATAATCCCAAAAATCCGAATCAATGTCAACACAAAGATGCGAGTATTTTTCCCTTGCACAGCCGACAAGGGTAGGCCACAAAATATTCACCTGAACAACAATAAATAAGAACGACTTTTACAATCAAAATTAAAGGATTTCTTCACACTTGAGGCGCTTAGAGCAGCCATCACCCCTTGCTGCCAGATTCCTAATTCCAGAGGACAAACTGCCTGCAAATGTTCCCAGCGGCAAAAGACATCCAGCAGACATTTTATGTAACCCTTCTTTCCAGCAACAGACTTGAAACAAACACGCAACCTGATACATGAATTCCTATCACAGCTAAGAACCAATGCTCTATGCCATCGGCAAGAAAAGGCATTACTTACGAACCACAAACAACCCACATTATATGAACTCACATCACTCAACCCACAATATGAGACCTCATTACACTCAAGAAATGTTGACAGCAAGCAACCTGCAAGATAGAATAACAATTCATAAACGTGTAAACAAGTTAGCAACAAGACTCTCTCAATATGGGTAGTGAAAGGTATGTGATTTAATGTCCTCCCCACACTCAACCCTCTATGATATGCTCTAGCTCCCAGAACAACACCTTTCAACCTGCAAATTAACCAAACAATTAGATAACACTTTATTTATGCTCTAATTCACTCAACCCACTTGAAGTGATCTCACATCCCTCAAAACTCTTCTAACCGGATCCAGAAAGGTAATACTATTCTTCAAAATTGAATCTGGCAGCCTCCACGTCTCAAGAAACCACCTGTCACTTTGATTACTATTCAGGTTAGTAACAGAAAGCATCCGAAATCGAATCATATCAATAATTTGCTTAATAACCACCTCATCGGGGAGGAACTCCCCATTAAAAAATCTGTTATTTCTGGTCATCCACAATTGGTGAACTGTGCAATTAAAAGCCAATCTGGAAATGACCGACCCAAGGGATTTACCCCTAATTTGTTAAGACAGAAGCTGAACCAGCTCAAACCATGGCAGATCTAGCCAAGAAACATTTAACTTTATTTTCATGACATTCCACACTCTATCTGAGAAAGGGCAATGGAAAAACAAGTGGCTGTGATCTTCATAAGGGTTATGGCAAACATAACCTTATAAAGATTGACTATTACCAAACTGCTTAACCCTATCCCCAGTGTTAAGTCTCCCCTGAACAGCCGTCTAACAAATTAAACTAGCCTTAGGAACATTATGGGGGCCCCAAATAATCCCACTCCAAGTGACTTTATCAAAGGACTTTCTTAGAAAATTCCAATTAGATCCAATGGAAAATTTACCATTAGAAGAGGGAGTCCAAATAATAGAGTCAGCTCCAACTTTAGGACTAAAAGAGGAGGGTGTGCTAGCAATCAGTTCCTTGACCTCCAAAGTATTAACAGAAGGCCACCTCCAGGCGTAATTATCAACAATGGCATTGACTTTAGTAGCACAATTCAAGGCAGTATCATCCTGGATCGTATTTTCAAACTTGGTCCACAAAGAACCAAGAGGATGCCAATTGTCATACCATAAGAAAATATTAGACCCATTGCCAACCACATGTTTGATAAGAGGATAGATACTAGGTCTAAGAGAAAGCAGTTTCCTCCAAACCCAAGACAGATCACTCGGGATTTTCACTTTCCAAAAGCTCCTGCCTTTAAGGAGATAAGACTTAAACCATTGGCACCACATGGACTAACCCCCACCAGAGAATAAAAACTAAATATGTTTTGCCACAGCGGCCCTATTCCAAACTTCAAGAGACTTAAACCCAAGCCCACCCTCATTTTTAGGGGCACAAAGTTTCTCCCAAGCAATTTTGGCCCCATGTTTCTTAAGATCACGACCAAACCAAAAGACGGATCTAAACAGACTCTCTATAACTTTGATAATCTTCTTAGGAAGAATAAAGAAAGATGACCAAAAGACTTGCATAGAAAAGAGAATGGAATGAATTAATTGAGCCCGCCCAGCATATGAAAGACACTTATTAGCCCAACCCTTAATTCTCTTTGTAATCCTCTCAGCAAGATGGTGACAATCAAAGGACTTAAGCTTAGTGGAAATGAGAGGGACCCCTAAATAACGCACCAGAAGGGTGCCCTCAATGAACTAGGTAACCTCCAAAATCTCATCTCTCAGCTTCGTATCACAACTAGAAAAGAAAATATGACTCTTTTGTAGACTAGGTGAAAGTCCAGATAGAGCCTTAAATTCCTCCAACCCCTCTTTGATGAGGCTAACAGAGTGCATATCTCCTTTACAGAAGATCGTAAGGTCGTCCGCAAAGCACAAGTTAACAATTTTAGATTTCTTACATCTCCAATGAAATTTAAAAGATGGGTTATCAGATTTTTCAGCCAGAATACGAGCAAGAATCTCCATAACAAGAACAAAAAGGTAGGGGGATAAAGGATCACCTTGCTTAGCCCCCTCGCCCCTTGAAAATACCTATTCAGACTCTCATTAATACAAACAGAGAACAAGGGGCTTGTTATACAAGCCTCAATCCAGCAAATAAAAATGGGAGGAAATCTCATAACTTTCAAGATGTCAAGAACCATATCCCATCTAACATTGTCATAGGCCTTTATAATATCAACTTTCATAGTACACTTAGGGGAAGGAGATTTTTTATGATACCCTCTCATCAATTCTTGGGATATGAAAATGTTATCAGAAATTCTCCTCCCCTGAACAAATGCAGACTGAACAGGGTCAACCAAATCAGGGAGGACAGACTTAAGCCTGTTAGCAATAATTTTGGATATACATTTATACACCGTATTGCAACAGGATATAGGTCTTAAATCCCCAACTCTATTCGCATTCGAAATTTTAGGGATAAGAGCAATAGTGGTGCTATTAAGCTCCTGAAAGAGTTCCCCAGACCGAAAGAAGGATTTAATAGCTTCAGTAACCTCACTACCCACCACCTCCTAGGCCTTTTTAAAAAAAACCCACAGAATAACCGTCAAGGCCAGGGGCTTTATTAGAGTGCGTAGACCACAACACATCATGGATTTCCTTATCGGTGACTTCCCTAACTAGGAAGTTTGAATGGTTCGACGACACTCTATTTTTGACAAGGGAGTCAATCCTATCAAAGCCACAATAATCGTCATCAAAAGGTTTACCAAAAAGGTTAGAGAAATAGTTAACAAAGGTGAGACAGACATCATCACCGTTAGTAACACGATCACCATTGTTCAAGACCACACTATTAATTCTCCCACGATTAACATTACACTTGATGGTCCTAAAAAAGAATTTAGAGTTTCTGTCGCCCAAACCCAACCATTGAACCCTAGATTTCTGATAAGCTAGACTCTCCTCGACCCTACTCAGATCAACATACTTGGAATAAGCAATTCTCTCTTCCTCTTGGAGGTTCTGATTAAGAGGGTCTTTGTCCAACTTGATTTGGAGGTTATCCAACAAGGATTTAGCTTAAATAACACGAATCGATATCTCACTAAACTCTTTTTTATTAAGACTTTTAAAAGTAGGTTTAAGAGACCGCAACTTCTGACACACTCTAAACATAGGAGATCCCTTGATATATTTTTTCCAAACATCATTGACAATGGGGATAAACTCAGGGTGAGAAGCCCAGAAATCAACGAATTTGAAAGGCTTCTTGGATTTAGCTTCCTTAAGATCAATAGTGACAATAACAGGGGAATGGTCAGAAATACCAGAAGAGAGAAAATAGGCAGAAGAGTTCTGAAAACTAGACAACCATTGCTCATTAACTAAAACCCTATCCAGTTTAGACATAGGTGGTGTTTGGGAATTTTGTTCCCAAATTTTTTTCTCATTTTTTCCACTAAAAGACAAAAGTTTTGCAAAACCAAAAAAAACAAATCCAAACAAAATATCACATCCAACCCCATAATCATTTCACTTTTTCTCTCACAAACATCACATCCAACCAAAAAAAACCTAACTATCTTCCCAAACACTAAAATTTTTTTATCCAATAATATCTTACAACTAAAAAAACCTACATAAAAACCCACTTCCCAAACACCCACATAATAAACTCACCCTCACCTCTCTTGTTAGCCCAGGTAAACTGACACCCACTATAAGCAAGATCATCCATTTCAGAATCTAACATACACATATTAAACTCCTCCTTATTACTATTCCAGGTCAAACTCCCTCCAACTTTTTCATAATGATAACGAGTAGCATTAAAATCACCCAAACAAACCTGTGGAACACTAGCATAACTCTTCAGAATACATGTAATGTCATGGAACAAAGGCAATCTCAAAATGTGTTCATTCTTAGCATAAACAAACACAGCAAAAAAAACTATATTCTTCTGCAGAACAATAACCCTACAAAATATAAGCTGGTTTGTCATTTTGATACATACAACATCACAAAAATCAGGATCCCAACACACCCAAATTCTAGCCCTACAATCTGATTGTGAATTTGTCAAAAATTTCCAGCGTTTAAAGCCAAGCTCAAAAATTTTAGCTTCATTCTCTTTTTTCACTTTAGCTTCCACAAGTCCCATGATTTTAAAATTTTCTTTATACATAAGATCAAAAACTTCTTTGTGCTTAGAGGAATCATTAAAACTTCTAATATTCCATGCAGCAAGTTTATTAATCATGAGATATAACAAAAAGGATAACACAACCAGACACACACACACACACACACAAAAACTCTTACCTTTTCTTTCTCCTCTGGCTACTCGAGCCTTTACCAGAGGAATGATGGACCTTCACAACTTCCACAACTGACTTCGCAGACTTGTTATTCTTCTCTAGTGTTGAATTGGTTGTATCTTGTACTTCCTCACCACCAGTATCAAACTGCTCTGTGCCCACTGGGTTTTCTCCGACAACCGATTATGGAGCTGCTTCCAAACTAGGTCCACATTGCTCTATTTAGCTATTAAACCGATTTATATTCAGTTGACCCTCTGCCATATTTGCACTAACTGAATCAGAAGATGTAGACAGAGGATCTGGAGCTACTTCCCCCACCTTTCTTTTCCCTTTGTCCTTTACTTGACTCCAACCTTCCTCATCCTTAGGGTTCTGCTCAGAAGCTTTTTGTAGAGATATGAGCTTAAACACCTGGGCGGAAAAACACACTTTTGTTTCATGACCAAAAACACCACAATGCTCACATTTAACTGGGACCCCTTGATATTCAACTCGAATAGTCACAGTTTCCCCTTCACATTTAATCTGAAAATCGTCAAGTAGCAAAGAACTGGCTTTGATTTCAACACAAACTCTAGCAAAGGAAATTCGATTACCAGAAGATGTGAGGTTATCCATGAAAAGAGGAACACCGATTGCACTCACAATTCTGCTGAGGCCTTCACTATCCCAAAATTCCATTGGAATATTATAAAACTTAACCCAAATTGGAATTGTCCCTTGCTTCTCTTTTGTCAACTTCATCATACGATGCCATTTCTTCAAAATCAGAAGGATACCTCCAATATACCATGGACCCCCTTCGATGACTCTAATACAACTATCCTGTTTTTCAAAAATAAAGAAAATAAAACCCTCATCATTTACTAGCACGTCCAAGAGACCCAGTTTCTTCCACGTATTAAAAGCATTATTTTTGATGAAGTTAAATAGAAGACTCCTGCCTAAGAAGTAACCCACCAAACAAGCTTCCCACTTTGCCAATGGTGAGGAAACAGACATCTCAACCACTAACGAATCTGATGAACAAGACGGAGGAATAAAATGGAGTTTAACCTCAGATCATGGTGGAACAGATACAACGTTAGCCCATGTTCTGGACTCCTGATTACGATTAACCCAAACATTACCTCTACCACCACCATGACCTCCTCTATTCCTCCCTCTTCTACCTAGCAGACCACCAAGATTTCCCTCATTCAGACCTTCTCGAGAGATTGAATCATGCCTTAGACCATTCTCATTTTGAGGAGCCCCATTTATACCACTAATTCCAGCCTGATGGTTGTTCCTTAGTTCGACATTCCCCACTACTTCTAGAGATCCAACGCTCGTAGCTCCTCTTTCACCAAAATCAGACAGCCTTAAACCTTCCCTAGCAAAGGGAGACACATGGGTTACGCTCTCAGTAGCCACAGTAATAGAATGATGAGAACCTCTAACCTTCGTTGCTTTCAAACTATTTGGGAGATCCGACAGTTTAGATCGAACCCCAACTTCAGCCAAATCTGACCACCTAGGGTTTTGTCCTACCGGAGTCAGAAAGAACTCTTCACTCTTATCGCCAACACGTTGAACCACGGAAGCCCCAAATTCTTTCGCCAATGTTTCTGTTCGTTTACCACTAGCCCTTTGTTCTGCAATTTTAACGAGGGTTTCTAACTCTGCTTCAGAGAGATTAGCGTGAGAAAGATTAACTTCTCTGGAAGGATAGTTAACAATCTCAGATGACCCAAATTTACACAACTCACATAGTTTATTTGATGTGACCTAAGAACCAAATCAGAACCCCATCTGCACTAAAAACAAGTATATTAATCGATTGATCCATACCTGAAGCTCGATCCTGGCAATTTAATGATATATTGAATGTTGAAACCCTAGAAATGCAGAGTTTCTAGAGAGAAGGAAGTGCTTCTTACTCTAACCCATGTTTGTTTCAGAAAAAGTTTATTTTGATATTTCATTATATATAAAAATATATATATGTATTAACTATAGCGGAGTAGTGCGATTTCGAAGGTAGATTATAAATTTCAAATTGCGAATCAAACTAATCAGCGATTAGTAGGAAAATCAATGCGAATTAAATTATTTTAATAGATTAGGCAATATTTTACACAACTTTAGATACCTCTTCCTACACAGTATTTATTGTACGACATCAATAACTGTGCATATAAACTAGTCTTCCAGTAATTAGAAGAAATTTTAGTGATATTTTGTAAGGCCTAGACTTTGTCTCCAGTCCTCATTACACTAGCCCGTAGTGTTGGGCCTCCATGGGCCCCCACGGAGCCCAAATTGATAATCCAAACTGTCAATGTATATAACTCCTTGAGTATTTTATCCATGTAAAAAATCACATTGATCGTATATCGATAGCCATTAGATCAATTCATATTTCTATCAGACAAACTCGAAATGGCTTTAAATGAACTAGACTGAAAGGTCCAATTGGGCTGGCCAACTCATCCAATCCCATTTTGTAAGCCACTCAAATCAAATAATTAGAACCATTGGTTATTTTCTATCCTCGCATCTATGGATTTGATTGTACGAGATTTAGACTCCCATCTACTAACAAATTAAACTTGATAGTCACAATGACTAAACTGCCCCTTAAAATTTCAAATTAACACCATTTATTAACATATCTGCGAGTAAATAATGTGAAAAGGCATGGGCACATATTTAACAAAATGAACTTGATTCGATGAGCTGAATGACGATGTCAAATACTAGTAAGAGTGATTCTACTTACATTACCAAACAAACTCCTTGCACTCATTTTCCTTTTACACCACACCCAAAAATTCCTCTCTCTCTTTACACTTTTCATAATGCTAAACTTACCCTCATTTATTTCATCCCAACATTTCAAACCCGAAGTCTTCCAACCACCATTTCCAGCAGCTGCTCCATCTTCTTCAGCCATTTCACCACCTTTACAGCCTTTCAACCACCGCGATCACCAGTGTCTCAACCACCACTTTTGCAACCCTCACTGCTGCAACCACCACTTCTTCTATTGCTCCACCACTGTGACCATCACCATTGCCTCAACCACCCCATTCTGCAACACTTTTAGATCTACTTCTCCACCATCGCGATTCAATGCTAGAGAGAGAGAGACACAGAGAGATGAAACCTAGGATTCGATTTTTGGATGAAAGAAGAAAAGGAAGAAGAAGGAGGAGAGCAATGATGGAGAACCCCCACAACCACCCCCTTTGTAGCACTTTTGTAACAGTTTATTTTGGGTGACCGCTCGAGCGGTCATTTGATCGCTCGAGCATAAATGCACAACTCCCAATATCTTGTATGTTTGTAGGCGAGACCGCTTAAGCGTAGAATCCAAGCTCCCAGTATTTTCACTGTAGCTTTACAAAACTTATAGAACCTTGCGTTTACCGCTTGAGCGGTGAAAGTCGCTCGAGCGGTCTAGTGGGGATAGCTTTTTTAAAAGTCGACTAAACACTCTTCTTTCTCACTTTTTCTAACTTTTCTCTCTCTAACACCCATTTCCAAACCCCAACCCAAAAAACATTTGATTTCCTCAAGTTTTACTATAGATTCACCTTAATTCCTTCAAGAAAAGTGAAGAGCAAGCTTGATTCAAGATTCTCACCGATTGGACCGTGTTTTTGGTCAAATTTCTTATTGGGTCTTCATCTCTTAGCTACCATTTTGAGGTAGTGGGTATTTTTCACTTGTTATATTCTTGATTTGAGATTTATATGTGATAATTTCTTAGTTATAACAATGTATGGGATATTTGTTAAATAAAGGGGAGTTTTGAGAAATTAAAGGGGATTTTCCCCATGTTTTGGAGCAATTTATACATATCCTTCTTGGTTATTGCTAGAAATTGTGGCTATTGACTCTCTATACGCAAATGAGAAGAAAGGCCCAAATTTTATGAAACCCGAATTTTCAAATTGAATTGATGAAGGGGATCATTCAATTGACTCTTGAATGGTGAAATTGAATGTATTGAGCTTACTTTGGCATTGAGATATGGACTTTTTTTTTTTTTTATAACTTGTGGAAATAAATCCTTGAGATTTGGAGATGATGAAAGTATGAAATTGAAGAATTTATTATGTGATCAATAGTATTATTAATGTTGATGTGGATGAACAAACTTTAGGGAAAATTTATTTGAAAACTCATTTCTCATGTGCATCATAATTTCTCATGTGATTTAACCACCTTGTGGATGTTTGGAAAATGTTAGAGGGGGTAACTAGCGTATAAGTTCGGGTAATTGAGTCGAGTTTCGGGAATTAAGTTATGTGTTGTGTTTGGTACTCCCGTAGGGAGTCAAGGTGCTTAATTGCCCTGTCTACACATATTGCCAGATGAATATAGGAAAGGTTTTTAGGTGTCCACGAGCCTGCCGTTTATAAAGTCAGCAAATGCGGAAAACTTGATTTTGGGTGTCCACAAGCCCGCTGTTTTAGAGTCGGCAGAAGTGGAGAGGCAAAGGTCTTTAGTGCCTATCGCCCCGCCGTCATTAGAGTCGGAAAATGTGAGAATATTTTCTGTATATAAATCTATATTTGTATGTATGGATTTGCGGCTTTTGCTTGGGACGTCATAGTGGATTTACCACCCCATGATCATAGATGAGATCTTGAATGAAAGTCATACATGGAACATTTTTGGTTCTTAAATGATAAAATATGGATTTTATCCTAACAAATGCATGATATGATCACATGCATCTCAAATATTTATATAATTTATTAAATGTATTTCCTACTAGGCATTAGTCACCCCAAAACTAACCATCTTTCAGAAAACAATGTTGATGCGCCACCTAAATTATGGGCTTTCGAAAATGTAAACAAACAATGATGTAATCAGTGAGAATAGTTCAATGGGAAAGAGGTAGTCATGGAATTTATAATATTATTATTATGGATTTACTCTCTCTCTCTCACACACACACACACATACACACACTTAATATGGAATCAATCCAAGTGAACATTTGATTATGGCATTTTTCCTGAGGCATTACAGCTTTCATATCTGCGTCCCCACCACCATTGCGACTACCCCATATCTGCAAGAATGAGAGAGAGAGAGAGAGAGAGAGGGAGGAAAACCTAGGGTTAGGCTTTCAGATTTGAAAGAAGAAGAAAAAGAAGAAAAAAAGATGGAAAAGGAGGATGAAGGCTGTAGAGTGAAGCTGTGAGGGACTGGGCGGCAGCGGTCGGTAGTGAAGAGCTGGTCAACAGTGAAGAGGTGGCGACAATAGTGGGCTGATAAAGGTGGTAGTGATGGGATGTAATGAAAAATTAGGATTTTCAAAATTTAAGGTGGAAGGATAGTTTAGTAATTTTATAACAAAATTGAAATGTAATAAAAAAATTAAAATTGAAACGCATAAGAAGTTGAATAAGTGATATAAGTAGAATTACGCTACTATTAGACACACAATTAAAATATAATCAGGGGTAAATTACACTTTTGCCCCATTATGATATGCCATTTCCTATTTGACTTCAATTTTTTTTCCCCCTCTCATTTTGACATTTCACGTTTCATGTTCCAATTTTTTTAAAAAAATTATTTTTAATGTAAATTTTTATTCTAAATTAGACAAAAATGTCATATTGATAGACACATGGTATGAAATATATTATCCTTAACTTACACATCTAAATGGGATGTTTGGGAAGATAAATTTTTAGCCAAAAAATTAAAATTTCACTAGGAGTTGTCAAATCATTCTTTTTTATTTTTTTTTGTATATTTTTCATAGAAAAATAAAAAAACACATACAAAAAATAAATAAATAAATTTTGAAACGAGCCTAAACTTAAACTTAAATGTAATAATTTATATTTTTATAGTATGTGATAGTCAACATGATATTTTTTTATTTAATTTTAGATAAAAATTAGTTTTAACAGTAAAGATAATCAGCGATTTGTGTTAGGCCCCGTTTAAGAATTGATTATTTTAATTGACTTTCTAATTTTTCACAAAAGATGTGCAAAAACATAGAGAGATTGATGTGATAACTTGTAGTGACTTTTTGACTTTTTTTTTATTAAAAACCTAACTCCCCAAACGGGCCTTAGTTAAAAGGGAACAGCTTGTCTCCAGTTGGATTTCTCAACTGGAGTGTGTTAGGTTTTATTCTTGGCAACCCCGTTTGACAAAACTCCTTTTGTGTTGTAATTTTATTTGCATTTTTATTTCAGTGAGGATATGAGTTGTTAGATGCAAATCCAACCTGAATTGTACCTTGCAGAGAAGTTTGTGATGTTAATACTTTCAAGATTGCCACTTCGCTGATTATGATGGGGATCGAGCTGCTCAGTCAGCTCGCGGGGGTCGAGGGGGTAGCACCCCTTGGCGGGTCCGGGGCAGCGCCCCCGAAGCAAAATGCAAAAATGCATTCAAAGTTGCCTTCCCGCTCAAGCGTCCATGCCCCTGCTCAAGCGGAGAATGCTGAGTTCCAGAAGTTTATTCGCCTGCAAAAATACTAGATGTTGTTTTTTCCCGCTCGAGCGGAACTTGCCGCACTCGAGCGGCCAATTTGACGCTCGAGCGGCGATCGCGGGACAGTTTTCTATAAATACGTGTTTCAGTCCAAATCTAGGATAATGTCTCCAAATCTTCTTTTTGGATATTAAGGTTTATATCTGGGGATATTTTGCTAGTTTTCTTTGATGTTTTGATTGAGTATTCAACTCATGGTTTAAAGAGTATACATTAAAGGATTATTTGTTTGTTCTACACAAAAGAGAGAGTTGTTCTTCGGTGGATTCTAAAGAATTCAAGCCTGAAGCTTTGGTGGATTTTGAAGTGACTCATCGTCAAGACAATTCTGAGGTGAAGACGGGGTTGGAAGAGACACATAGGGGTTGGTTCAATTCGGACGTGGATTCGCTAGGTAATTGAGAGTATACCTCTGTAATTCCTTTATATCTTCTTAGTGGATTGTTTTGTGGTTGTTGCCCGTGGTTTTTTTTTATCACAATTGGAGGTGTCCAATTGTGGTTTTTTCTGCGTAAAATCGTTGTGTCGATTTGTCTTGATTGTTTGATTGGGATTGTTGTTTGCTACTTAAAATTGATACATAATCACAAATCAACATCTAGGGGATTTCTAGATTTTTCAGAGCGTCTTGTTAGGCTTCCGTGGGTCTACTAAGGAACTCATATCGATCATTCAAACACTTCAATATTTAAGACTTGTCCAATACTCCATCCTTGTCAAAAAACACATTGTTGGATATCATTAGCCACTTGATCAAATTACATTTGTGCCAATAATTTATTTTTAAAATATAGTTACCGTTGACACAAATTTGATCTGATCAAGTGGCTATCACTATTCAATTAACATGATATTTTGCAATGATGAAATATTCGACAAGTACTAAATACTGATCAGTTCAGATTATAGATATAGGCTCTATAGTAAGCCCATAGAGCCTGACAGTATCTTCTAATCTGATTTTGAACTAGAGGCAAGCCTGGACTAGTCAAAATTTAGTCAAAAACTCAAAGGGCCATCATTGAAAAAAGGCCAACTATAAAGAGGTAGCCTCTGAGGTTAGACACTAAGGAGCCGAGGCATCAAAGGTCACCCTTACATGGTTCTACATAGCAAGGCCAGTCAATAATGTAGCGGTAAGTTGCAAACTCGCACATAGGTAGGGATTCAAACCCACACTCTTAACACTAGGTACGGTTTGCCCAAGCTTGGAAGATTCAGTCTACCAACCATATATACTGTCACCCAGATAGTTGGCCCCAAGAAAACTGGAATATGAAATCTCAATACTTATACCTCAAGGCCTTACTGAGTTGCTACAACCCCTTGGGTTAAGGGTCATCACTGTAAATTCGACTAAAACAATATTTTTAATGAGTGCTGCTATTAGCATTCCATAAATTATTTTGGACTCTCCATTTTTTAGTTTTTTTTATTACAATAATAATTTCAAATGAAATTACTATAAAGGACATCAATAATTTTGGAATACCACATATCATAATTAAGCCCACACACCCACTACATCATGAGTTAGGGTTTATAAGAGCACCCACCTTTATCACCACTCATCTATCCCCCAAATCCCTCCTTCAAAACCTTGAAAACCCTTTGGTGGCAATATTTCGGTGACAACCATTTGATTATATACACTTCTCCGACAATGACAATGAGTAGAAGTTTTTCCGACAATCACAACTCCATGAAATGAGAAGAGTGCAACAATAAAAACTTAAAAGAGATTCATAGTTTTGATGGTGTTCTTAACTCAAGTGAGATTGACATAAAGGTAAGTTTATTGAAAAAAATGACAAAAATAATAAAAATTGTTTGTTATTTTTTTCAGACTGAATTCTCAAATATATGACCGAAATTCAGGAACACAAACTCGAACATTATTTATTTGTTCGGGAACAGGTAACCAAACATTTATTATTTGTTCTGGAACAAATAATCGAAGTATCAGCAGACGCAAGCAAACAAAAGAGGTAGGACCACTCTTGGGTGGTTGATCGGTGGGTGAAATCTTGCCTAATTTTGCTCACACAGAAAGCATACAAGTACAGTGAGGTCATGGATGAATGACAGAAAACTAACTAGAGCAGCATGAAAATGGATTGTGTTGTGTATGTAAAAATAAGTATTAGAAAAAAAAAATCAAACAGATTGACAAATCTCGTAACGAAATAGGGAAAAAAACTTCTTAATCACCACAAATTTTTTTTCACTGGTTTTGGGAAGTTTCGCTGACGTGGGTTTTGTTGGGGTTTTGGGAATAGGCTTTTTGGAGGTGTGGGGATGTGCATTAGAATGTGTAGAATATTTTTATAAGGATAATTTTGGTATTATTTGAGAGGAGAAAATAAATTTTAAGAATTTTACAATTTATAAGTGGGGTCTAAAGAAATGGGGCTTTACAAAATAATTAATGAAATGTTAATAGTAACATTCAATTTTAGGGGTTGTTTGTGATGATCTAAATAAGCGTACTTTTTGATTTTTTACGAAAAAATGGAAAATATGGGTTATATTTGAAGTGATGTGATATAGGGATGATGTGATTTAAATAAGATGATGTGACTTAAATAGGATAATGACTTTTTGACTTTTTAAATTTTTTACATTATGCCAAACTAGGCCTTAATATAATAAATAATATTTGTTTTGTTTTGATTTTATTTAGGCCTAATTTGAAATGTGCAAGAATAGCATATTTTTATATTTCTTTTATCTTATTTAAATCATATCATCTCTTATTTAGATAATCATATCACCACTCTACCACATTTTCCATCTTTTCATAAGTAATCAAGAATATACTGATCATCCTAAACAATGATTTTTTTTTTTAATATTCTAAAACAAAAACAATTTAGAGAATTGATCAAAATTTCAAACTATTTGAGAAACTAATTTGCTTTTTGAAATCTTATTTTGAAAAGGAAAATGTCTCGTAGTTCAAATTTTGTGGCTCAAAAGTGGCTCAAATGGCCAAAACGATATCGTTTTGATCATTTTTATGTTGTTCTGTACTCAAAACGACGTCGTTTTGGCCATTTGAGCCACAAAATTTGAGCTACATAGCATTGTCGTTTTGAAAATGTGATAAATTGCATATTGAAAATGTAATTTCAAAAAGTGAAGTCCATACCAACATAAATGCAATTTCAAAAAGTGAAATTCATGTCAGCATAAATTACATTTTTAACATACGATTTTAAGGTAAAAGTATAGGTTGAAAATGTAATTTTAATTTAAAATTATATTTTAAAAATAGATTAATTTTTCAAATAGTTTAAAAAATTGGTCAATTATCTAAATTGTTTGTTTGTTTAGAATATTTTAACCAAAAAAACTCCCCAGACAATCCCTAGTTTTTTTCTTTTTCCTTTTTCTTTCCCCGTCTCTCAATTTCTTGAGTTTGAACCCTAATCCGTCCCGCTCGTGCCTCTCTCTCTGTTTCACTCTGTGATTTCTCTCTCTCTCTCTCTCTCTCTCTCTCTCTCTCTCTCTCGAAAGAGTTCAATCTGCATGATCGACCCTACTCTGTTTTCTTAGAGGTCTTGGAGCTCACAAGGCATTGTGAGGTCAACTTTGATTAACTGTGAGACATATCCTTGTGTCTTCTTCATTCTTTGTTTCCAGATCGACTAGGGATTATTCATTTTGGTTTGAAATTCAAAATTTTCCAAGTTTTGGAGAGTAGATTTGTGGGACGACAATTCCTCTTCACTTGATAACTCCGTTTGGTTGCTGGGAAAATGTTGGAAATGGAAAGAAAGAAATCTAAAATCTGAATTTTGATTTTCTTGGTTATATATGGGGTCCAAGAAAACATTACAAAAAAGAAAAAAAGAAAAAAGACCATAATGCCTTGATATATCAAATTTGTTTTCTTTTTCTTTTGTGTTCCTCATTTTGTAGCTTTGAATAGATATTTCTCTCTGCATTTTTTAATCTTGATTTCTGAATCTTCTCGTTTTCAAATGGGTATCTAATTCTTTGCAATTATTGGAGAAATATTGATTTTGGTTGTACATGTTGATTTTGTTTTCTAGTTGGTTGATGCTCATTTTGTATTTCTTGATCTCGTCTCTTTGCTTGGTTCAATTTGACGGGCTTTAATTGCTCTGTTTTCTAGAAGTTTTTACCCAATTGTTTTTTCTTGGTAAGCTTTTACCCAATGGTTTTGTTTGTACTGTGTTAAATTGTCAACTACTGATGTTTAAGGACTCATCAACTAATGTACTGGGTTGCATTTTCTGTCAAGCATAAATTCCTGAAAATGGAGGTAAGAATATGAAAGTTTTTGCTATGATTCAGAACATAAAAGGGAAATTTAGCAGCATATGTACAGAAAATATAAAAATATTTGTCTGAAAGGCTGTCTACTACACAATCACTAGTGGTTCTCTTCTGTTGCCACAAAAATTATCACTAAATTGCCTCATAGAAGTTGTTAATTGTTGCAATGCTCACAAATTGTGCCAAATGATGATAAATCAACCTGGGGTAAATTAAGGGTCTAAAAGTCATGGCTCTTTGGTATTAAACAGCTCTATACCTTATTTATATTTTCTGATAAAATATATTCGGGCGCATTCCTGACTTTAGGAAGAAATGCATGACTTAGTAGAAAGCCCAGTTCAAGCCATATAGGTTCGTGATTCAACTTTGATTGTTATGACTCGTACCACGGTTGAGTCCTATTATAGGCTGTGATTCCTGGTTTTTAATCTAGCTGCCAAGGGTTCTTCCTTACCTAGCTCAGGAAAGAGGTGCCAACTAACTTACATTGATTCTTATTGTAGAAAGGGGGAATTAGAAGTCCAAATTTGTATATCAGTAGGCAACTATGAAGCACGAACACTTCTAAGAAGGTGACATGTCCATGTCGGACACCGACACTTTTCAGACACTTCCCAATGCATGTCAGACACTCATCCAAATGTGTCTTATTTTATTTTATCTTTTTTTAGATCTGGACACTTTTTGAACACTTGGGGATGCGCGTGTCCATTGTTTGGACACACATAAAACTAATTATAAGTTTGAACAAAATAATCTAGGGTACAAAGACAAAACAAAATTAATGTAGATTTACAAAAATTAGTGCTATGTTGCTTTTTTTTTGTTATTATCTTTGAATGATATATTCATATATACAGCATATAATAAATATATAAAGAATTATATATTTTATGTGTGTCCTTCATGTGTCATGTCCTATATTTTTTGAAAATTGTTGTATTGACATGTTCGTGTCGTATCACTTGTCTGTGTTCACGCTTCTTAGAATCTTAGGTAGGCAATAAGGGATAGAAACATGCCACAATGTCAACAAAGTGGCTGAATGGTGTATTCGTCAAGTGATTCCTATAATGAACTTGAAGTGATTCCTATAATTGCAAGTTTTGCACCAAAGCATTTTATTTTTTTAATCTAAAAAGCCATTCCATCTATTATTTGAATATATTGAATTTTGTCTCTGTCTTTGCATTCGGTTTGTGGATACGTAGGTAGCTGCTTGATGGAACTCCACCACACTTGGAGATCCAAAGTAGAAAATATCAGTGTTTTATGCAAATCACTGATTGGAGATCATCATTTTCATTTAGAATCATCAAATTGCAATGTTTAGCAGTTTCAGGAGCTGAAAACAATATTTTCTAGCACTGGATTCTAATGGCCTTATTTCACTCTTGATTTTTGAATTTAAGATATTTACCTTTTATTTCATTCTATTAGATTCAGAGTCTTTTCTGGAACCATTTCTTTACCTCCCTAGCAGTGTGTAGCTTTTTATACACCAGTTGTACATGGTTGTGCATCTGTTTTGGTGTCTTTAAAGACAAACATTACTTTGATTATCTGGAAAATTAGATGCTCTAGGTTGTTATGCTTTGTTTTGTACTTTTACTCGCTTACGATATTTCTTTAGCAGCCTGTGAGTTCCCTATTCTGGAGCCCCTTCTCACTTCAGCAGCTTGTCCTTTATTTCACTTTGTCCTGATATGCATTTTGTTGCAGGTTTCATGAGTCTTATCTGAATTTAGAAACCCTTGCCTTTCTATTCTCTAAGGCCAGTAAACATGAAGGAAGAAAATCTTGCTATTGCTAATGTTGGGGAGCCTACTGTTAGAATGACACGAGCTCAAGCTGCTGCTTGTCATGCATTTGGAGGGATTCCACCTTCTGAAGCACTGAAGCAGCAAGGTCAAAAGCAGGTTTTACGGACAAGTTCAAAAAGAGCAGCTTTAGATGAGATGAATAGCAGTGCTTCTGCTGCTGCACCTGTTCAGCATAAGAGGAGGGCAGTGCTTAAGGATGTCACAAATGTTTGCTGTGAAAATTCCTATAAAAACTGCCTCATTGCAGCTAAAATTCTGGTTTGTACACTACCCTTTTGCTGAATTTATATAATTAATGTAAGAAATTGTTGTAAATTTAAAGAAAATTAAATAAGAAAGTATGTTTGTTCCTCATTAACAGAGGTCAAAAATGGCTGCTTTAATGCACAAAAAAATGAAATGTTGAATCGTTGATAGATATTTTGATTGCCCGAGCATATAAAAGCATTCCCAAAAAATTGGGATAGTTGAGTTGAGCGGCATTTCTGAGTATAGAGAAGACTAAATTGGTTATTGAACTTCTGGTCATTGATAGCAATAACTAGAACAGTCAAATGTTCATCGTGACCATGAACTTTCCCACTCAAATATCTGAATTTAATAGTTAGATTTGCTTGATGGCTTGGACTTTCTGCTACAAATGTTATTAATTTTTCTTTACTAAAATCATTACATGACCTCTGTTAATTATGCTGTTTTTCAGAAAAAGAATAGCAAGCAGGCCAATAAAGGTTCAGTGAATGTTTCCAAGGTTGCCCCCAGTGTAGCAGTCCAAGTGCACCAGCTTCCAGCTGATTCCAAAACAAACATTGCTCAAGAAACTGCAAATACAGAACTTAAATCCTTAAAAGTTGAATGTCCGGTGAAGGAAAGCAACATAACCTCTCAGCTATGTGCAGTGAGTAATGTGAAAGGTTGTGAGATTGACAAACCTCAACTCGGAAAACAAAGTATTGGAATAGCTCAGCTCGGAAAACAAAGTATTGGAATGCCTTCACAACTACAAAACTTTTCAAAGAGAGGTTTGTCTTCATTTTGACTGCTCATTCTTGAACAACCTTTTACCAATTATGACATCAATGACTTCTTAGATCACTCATTTGTATATTTTCTGTCAAATGCTACATTTTACATACTGACAAGTGACAACCTTAGCTAGATAAATTATAACTTGTTTATTTTATCTTCATGAATATACTACTAACAGGCAAATGATTGTGGGTGTTTGGGAAGTGGATTTTTTTGTAGGTTTTTTTAGTTGAAGGATATTATTGGAGAAATTTTTTTTTGTGTATGGGAAGACAGTTGGATTTTTTTGTGGTTGGATGTGATGTTTGTGAGAAAAAAAGTGAAAAGATTATGGGGTTTGATAGGATATTTTGTTTGGATTGGGTTTTTTTGGTTTTGTAAAACATTTGTCTCGTAGTGAAAAAAAAAAAAAAAACCTAAAAACCAAGTTGCCAAACACCGCCATTGTTAGCTTCGTATTTGGAGGAAAAGTTCATTATTGAAGTCAAGATCTGGATGTGGGGATATTCAATATGTTAAAATGGATTGTTACGAGCTTCAGTAAAATATGTTTATGTTTGTATTTCCTATTTGCAATGCAATGTAATATTCACTAATAGTAGCCATTAAATGCAAAAACACTTTGCAATTAATGCAGCAGAGAAATACAGAAGTACATGAGCAAAAGCCGAAGAAAGATCAGTAACACAGGATTATATAGAACAAAAGAAATAGAAGAAGGCAAGTTGAATTCAAGTAGATATGATCATGTGTGTTGGAATATGGGAATCCCATATATTGTGTGAATCCCATATATTATGTGATTACAGGATTTTAGGCATATTTTCTTATATTTGATTTTATTATTATTCTACCTTCCTAAATTGTAACCTCCTCAATTCAGTATATATATACAAGGCTAATCATACATTATGATTTAGCCATTCAATTATATTCTTCTCCTTGGCATCAGAGCCAAACCCTAGCCACCAACCACCCTTCTCTTCTGTTTCAGACAACATTTCTTCTTCCCTCCACCGAGCCGAAAGCCCTTCTTCTTTCTCAAGCCCCGACAGCCCTTCCTCTTCCTTCCCAGCCCCTCGGCAGTCCCTCTTCCTCACTGTCGCAGCTTCCTTAGGTGCTGACTAGACCCTCCCTACCTTGGGTCTAGTGCGGCTTCCCTTTCGGGGTGTATTATCTTTGAATGATATATTCATATATATAGCATATAATAAATATATAAAAAATTATATATTTTATGTGTGTCCTTCATGTGTCATGTCCTGTATTTTTTGAAAATTGTTGTATTGACATGTTCGTGTCGTATCACTTGTCTGTGCTCATGCTTCTTAGAATCTTAGGTAGGCAATAAGGGATAGAAACATGCCACAATGTCAAAAAAGTGGCTGAATGGTGTATTCGTCAAGTGATTCCTATAATGAACTTGAAGTGATTCCTATAATTGCAAGTTTTGCACCAAAGTATTTTATTTTTTTAATCTAAAAAGCCATTCCATTTATTATTTGAATATATTGAATTTTGTCTCTGTCTTTGCATTTGGTTTGTGGATACGTAGGTAGCTGCTTGATGGAACTCCACCACACTTGGAGATCCAAAGTAGAAAATATCAGTGTTTTATGCAAATCACTGATTGGAGATCATCATTTTCATTTAGAATCATCAAATTACAATGTTTAGCAGTTTCAGGAGCTGAAAACAATATTTTCCAGCACTGGATTCTAATGGCTTTATTTCACTCTTGATTTTTGAATTTAAGATATTTACCTTTTATTTCATTCTATTAGATTCAGAGCCTTTTCTGGAACCATTTCTTTACCTCCCTAGCATTGTGTAGCTTTTTATACACCAGTTGTACATGGTTGTGCATCTGTTTTGGTGTCTTTAAAGACAAACATTACTTTGATTTTCTGGAAAATTAGATGCTCTAGGTTGTTATGCTTTGTTTTGTACTTTTACTCGCTTACGATATTTCTTTAGCAGCCTGTGAGTTCCCTATTCTGGAGCCCCTTCTCACTTCAGCAGGTTGTCCTTTATTTCACTTTGTGCTGATATGCATTTTGTTGCAGGTTTCGTGAGTCTTATCTGAATTTAGAAACCCTTGCCTTTCTCTTCTCTAAGGCCAGTAAACATGAAGGAAGAAAATCTTGCTATTGCTAATGTCGGGGAGCCTACTGTTAGAATGACACGAGCTCGAGCTGCTGCTTGTCATGCATTTGGAGGGATTCCACCTTCCGAAGCACTGAAGCAGCAAGGTCAAAAGCAGGTTTTACGGACAAGTTCAAAAAGAGCAGCTTTAGATGAGATGAATAGCAGTGCTTCTGCTGCTGCACCTGTTCAGCATAAGAGGAGGGCAGCGCTTAAGGATGTCACAAATGTTTGCTGTGAAAATTCCTATAAAAACTGCCTCATTGCAGCTAAAATTCCGGTTTGTATACTACCCTTTTGCTGAATTTATATAATTAATGTAAGAAATTGTTGTAAATTGAAAGAAAATTAAATAAGAAAGTATGTTTGTTCCTCATTAACAGAGATAAAAAATGGCTTCTTTAATGCACAAAAAAAAAAATGAAATGTTGAATCGTTGATAGATATTTTGATTGCCCGAGCATATAAAAGCATTACCAAAAAATTGGGATAGTTGAGTTGAGCGGCATTTTTGAGTATAGAGAAGACTAAATTGGTTATTGAACTTCTGGTCATTGACAGCAATAACTAGAACAGAGTCAAAAGTTCATCGTGACCATGAACTTTCCCACTCAAATATCTGAATTTAATAGTTAGATTTGCTTGATGGCTTGGACTTTCTGCTACAAATGTTATTAATTTTTCTTTACTAAAATCGTTACATGACCTCTGTTAATTATGCTGTTTTTCAGAAAAAGAATAGCAAGCAGGCCAATAAAGGTTCAGTGAATGTTTCCAAGGTTGCCCCCAGTGTAGCAGTCCAAGTGCACCAGCTTCCAGCTGATTCAAAAACAAACATTGCTCAAGAAACTGCAAATACAGAACTTAAATCCTTAAAAGTTGAATGTCCGGTGAAGGAAAGCAACATAACCTCTCAGCTATGTGCAGTGAGTAATGTGAAAGGTTGTGAGATTGACAAACCTCAACTCGGAAAACAAAGTATTGGAATGCCTTCACAACTACAAAACTTTTCAAAGAGAGGTTTGCCTTCATTTTGACTGCTCATTCTTGAACAACCTTTTACCAATTTTGACATCAATGACTTCTTAGATCACTCATTTGTATATTTTCTGTCAAATGCTACATTTTACATACTGACAAGTGACATCCTTAGCTAGATAAATTATAACTTGTTTATTTTATCTTCATGAATATACTACTAACAGGAAAATGATTGTGGGTGTTTGGGAAGTGGATTTTTTTGTAGGTTTTTTTAGTTGTAGGATATTATTGGAGAAACTTTTTTTTGTGTATGGGAAGACAGTTGGATTTTTTTGTGGTTGGATGTGATGTTTGTGAGAGAAAAAGTGAAATGATTATGGGGTTTGATAGGATATTTTGTTTGGATTGGGTTTTTTTGGTTTTGTAAAACATTTGTCTCGTAGTGAAAAAAAAAAAAAAAACCTAAAAACCAAGTTGCCAAACACCGCCATTGTTAGCTTCGTATTTGGAGGAAAAGTTCATTATTGAAGTCAAGATCTGGATGTGGGGATATTCAATATGTTAAAATGGATTGTTACGAGCTTCAGTAAAATATGTTTATGTTTGTATTTCCTATTTGCAATGCAATGTAATATTCACTAATAGTAGCCATTAAATGCAAAAACACTTTGCAATTAATGCAGCAGAGAAATACAGAAGTACATGAGCAAAAGCCGAAGAAAGATCAGTAACACAGGATTATATAGAACAAAAGAAATAGAAGAAGGCAAGTTGAATTCAAGTAGATATGATCATGTGTGTTGGAATATGGGAATCCCATATATTGTGTGAATCCCATATATTATGTGATTATGGGATTTTAGGCATATTTTCTTATATTTGATTTTATTATTATTCTACCTTCCTAAATTGTAACCTCCTCAATTCAGTATATATATACAAGGCTAATCATACATTATGATTTAGCCATTCAATTATATTCTTCTTCTTGGCATCAGAGCCAAACCCTAGCCACCAACCACCCTTCTCTTCTGTTTCAGACAACATTTCTTCTTCCCTCCACCGAGCCGAAAGCCCTTCTTCTTTCTCAAGCCCCGACAGCCCTTCCTCTTCCTTCCCAGCCCCTCGGCAGTCCCTCTTCCTCACTGTCGCAGCTTCCTTAGGTGCTGACTAGACCCTCCCTACCTTGGGTCTAGTGCGGCTTCCCTTTCGGGGTGTTTTTTTTCTTCTCTCTTTACCCTTCCAGGATTCGTGTGCTAATGTGGTTAGCACTTTTTAGATTGTTTTTCTGTTATGTGCGGCTACCGGTATATTCGGTAGCGTTTATAGTACATCGTTTTTTTTCCTGGCCTTTGCTGTGATTTTGCTGGTTGTTTGCTTCGCTGTGATTGTTGTTTATTTATATATGGTATATATTCCTACATATATTAGGTATTGATTTTCTAGATATATTAGGTATTGTCATAGTTAGGTCTCTTATAGGATACTATTTCTTATAGTTAGATTTCTAGTAGGATACTCTTTTTCAGCCTATATATATAGGCCTTCTATCATTCAATACAATACATATTATTTCCCCCCTCTCTACTATTTTAACATGGTATCAAAGCTATAGGTTAAGCTCTTGGTATTCTTCGCCTTACCGTGGCCGCTCGTCGGGCCTCAACCTATTCCGTTGTCATATTTAAAAAATAAGAAATTATATTAAAAAAAATCATAATTGAACACTTTTAGGATGAATAGAAATCTTATACAAACTTAATTTAATAATTTACTTTATAATAAAATAGTACATAACTTTAACTAAAGAGAGAGACTCTGAGGTAATTTGGAAAGATTAACTTTTTAATTTTTTTTAACTTTTTAA